TCCCCTTTTCATCAAGGGTAGGAGGTTCGTAGTTATTTGAAAAATTATTTTTCCCCACTTTATGAGTTATCTTAAACCTGGCTTTGTATATAAGCCTAAATATGTATATATGTATGTACGTATGTATATATGCATGTATGTATGCATGTATGTATGTATGTATGTATGTGCACGTGAACGTTCTCTTTCTGGCCATGACACCCGGGTTCGAATCTCACCACGGATGACTTGGCAGGAAGGAGACTTCTTGATGTTATCGGTCTGGAGGGAGGCGATCCCAGCGAGCAGCACCTTTGAAAATTACCTGAAAACCATACCACGTGAGTGAAATTGGGTAGACGGAACACTTGGGCGTCCGTTGATAGCTGTGCTAGCACAAAGCCACAAGTCAATGTGTCCGAGGGTTTGAGTTTGCTGGCCTTTTTCAGATTGTTGCTAGATTCACGCTAGATAACACGCAGAAACTGTAACTAAGGTCTGCTCAGCATAGTTGCAGTATAAACCATAGGTATGCTCTATGAGTGTTGAACGAACATGAATGTGCCTGAACGAGCGTCTGCAATAGGGATTGGCTAGCCGCCCTAATAGACGGGTATCTTCGAATACGAGTGGCCAGCTGTTAGATATATATATATATATATATATATATATATATATATATATATATATATATATATATATATATATACAATAAATCTATGTCTGTGTTGAATTGGCTTTAAAATATTTTACCTCAAGACGTTGCAAGTAGCAAACCTTCTTAATTTACTTCTATGTAACATTTCCTTTCAGATTTTGGAGGATCATGGCTCTCCACAACTTCCTGTTCTTTGTAGCACTTAGTAAAAGTTTCCTTTTTTGCTGTCTCTCCTAATCTTTGTTCTGACAATCATATCAGATTTGCCAAGCCCTAATTATATATCCTAGAAATGTCAACTGTCTCTTTCCGATGCTACGTAAAATTGTCCCTTATGACTTCATTTTCTCTAAAACTTCGTCATTTCTCACAAGTTCAATTCTCATCATCCTTCTGTAGAACCAAATTTCAGTTGCCTCAGATCTCTTCTCGATCTGTGATGAGATGGACCAGTATTCACTAACGTATCGGCATCAGTATTCTTTTCGTTGCAATCTAACGACATTATTCTGTTTCTTAATAATTTTGCTTACCATCATCATTCCTTATACCGTATAATTTTGCGTACAAGTTATCATTCCATATTCCAATACGCCATTGTAGTTCAGCGTCAGACACTTCCTAAACATTTAATTATTTTTTTTTTCTTGTACTTGCTTGATTTTGGTATCCCCATTTTGTAATTCGCATGTTGTGGTGTCTCTTTTGCTAACAACCATACATTCTCTCTTTTAAGATTTGAACTCCTTCCGTCTCGCTTTCCTTCACTATATTCAGTAGAAGTTATTGTAGTTTCTTTTCTTTGTCTGCTATCAACCTTTTGTCATCTGCATGTCGAATGTTGGTAAGACTGTGGCCGCCAACAATGAATCCTTGTAGGACTTCTAATTCTCTCAGAATTGCTTCACTGATTGAATAAGTCCGGTGAGAAGATAGATCCTTGTTTTATGCCCCTTTCTATTTATTTATTTATTTTATTTTATTTTCATTTTTATTTTATTTTATTTTTTTATTTTTATTTTTTTTTTTGGCATATTCATTAAATTCATTTTCTATCCTCAAGCAGGCGGTTTGTTCCCAGTATAAGTTCAGGAGGAGACACGGTGGAGTAATGGATAGCTGCTCGGATTGAGGAATCGGAGAGCGGAGTTCGAATTCCAGTCAAATACCCTTGTGCTAATACCCTTGGTAAAGCTATGAATCCTCCTCTTCTCCCACCAGCTATGGATAAATAGCTGGACAGACCGGTTTCTATAGCCCTGGATGGCAACTGGTCTACCGCAGAAAGAAATGGTAACCTACTGCGGAAAAATCTGCCTCGTCAGTCGTGTATCGAAAGATACATGATCGCCTAAGCCTGTATCACGCATGGCATATAACTGACTAAAGTTCAGGATTATTCTAATATACTTCCCAAATGAATAAGGTTTGCCTAGCAGTTGAAACAGTTCTTTCTGACATACGCTTTTACGTTGCCATATGATCAATCTGCTAATGCACCAATCGACCAGAGGCAAAAATGTTAAAAAATTCCCATCACTATAAGTTAATGACGAATGTTTCTTTTATGGAATCGGACAATGTTACTATTATTCTTTTTTATCTACTGTCGAATATACCAAATTTTTTTTAAAAAATCGAATCAAAAATTGAAAATCGAATCTAAAATCAAAAATCGAATCAATTGCTTTTGTCAGCAAGGGAAATTGTTTCACTTTGTCGTACAAGAAGATTTTTCTCCATAGAATCCATCTTGCACATTAAGAAATCTACCATTCCTACGTGCATTGAATACAGTTGTCATATCTGGCTTGGTGCTCCTGTTATTCATCTTAGGATCCTTGATAAAACCCCTGAAGATTGTGTAATGTAATCCATTCAGACCAGGCATCTTGACTTCAGTCCCACTCTCATCCCTGGTGCGCCGACTATATGAATTTAAGCGCGCTACTAGATTGGCAATTAGGTCCCACCGTTTTACTGCTGAACTTGCTAAATGATACCGCCACTTCTCCTCTAACAGTTTCTTTTCTCGCACTTCCCACTTGTGGAACTCCCCCCCCATTTGCTTTCTTCCCTGATAACTACAATCTTCAAAGATTTAAATGCAACATCAGTTGCCATCTTCTGTCTTCTTGAACTCCGTTCATTTTTGTTCTTTCCTCAATCCTACCTGTAACCCCCTGCGTACTAGTGGCATTACCGCCTTGCTTAGGGGTTAAATGATAAAAAATTATAAAAAATGAAATATCTGGGATGTGTTTTAACAAAAGATGAACAGATCGACACTGAAATCCAAAAGCGCATTTGGATAGCGAAAGATGTCTTCCAAATGCTAAGCAGAATATTAAGAAACAGAAAAACAAAGAAATGAGTACTGAACTGTTAAGTGATATCTGTTCTCTTATATGACAGGAAATGCTAGACAATCTCCTCAAAGATGAAGAAGAGACTTAAAGCAACAGAAATTTGGTTCTACAGAAGGATGCTGAGAATACCATAAACTAAATATGTGCTACGGCCGAAACGCTGTTATTATAACAGCCAAGATGAACATGTTGGTCTGAATAACACTATCTATACACCATATTTTTCTATTTTAGGAGAGAGTGTAAACAATTTATTGGTACCATTCACTTTCCGAAACCTGGCCAAAATGAATAAACATTAGAGTTAAGGTCTTCTTCGTTAGGCTGAGTAACCTTCATTACCTTCACTTATTTATTTTATAGGAATGTAATTCCTTCTCTTGCTCTCTCTTTTCTTCCAACACCGACCCCCCTTACACTGTCTTTCTCTCCTTCTCTCTCTCTCTCTCTCTCTCTCTCTCTTTCTCTATCTATCTATCTATCTATCTATCTATCTACTTTTCTACCTGCCTACCTATCTATCTATATGATTACGGCCACATCACGTTGAAACACCGGTTGCCGTAAGATCATCGAAGTTAAGCAACGTCGAGCTTGGTTAGTACCCAGGTACGTGACCGCCTGGGAATACCAGATGATGTAAGCTTGGATGTGCAGGTGGTGTAATGGATATTGGCTCGGAATTGTTAATCGGAGAGCAAAGTTTCAATTCCCGTTGGGTTCGTTATATTCGCTTATACGCAAATACCATTGGGAAAGTTATGAGTTCACCCCCCCCGGCTATGGGTTCATTAGTAAGACTTGTATCAATCTAAAAATATAATTTAGCATTCTGCAAAGAGTTCAGAAACCGTACAAAACAAATCAACGAATCTATCTATCTATCTATCTATCTATCTATCTATCTATCTATCTATCTAACGATCAATCGATTCTCTTATCTATCTATCTATCTATCTATCTTTCTATCTATCTATCAATCGATTCTTCTATCTATCTATCTATCTATCTATCTATCTATCTATCTAACGATCAATCGAATCTCCTATCTATCTATCTATCTCTCCTTGGCTTACGGCCACGTTGAAACACAGGTTCCCGTACGATTACCGAAGTTAACCAACCTTGAGCCTAATCACTAACTAGATATGTGACTGTTTAAGAATACCAGGTGGTATAAACTTGGATGTGCGGGTGGTGTAATCGATAATGGTTCCGAATTGTTAATCGGAGAGCCGAGTTCCAATTCCCGTTGAGCTCGTTATATTCACTTACACGCAAATAAACTTAGTAAAAGTATGAATCCAACTCTTCACCTCCCAGCTATGGGTTAATTAGTAATACTCGTATCACTAAATCATTATTATCTCTAAATATATTTTGTGACATTAAATAACCGGCATAGGGTTGATAAGCCGTAAAAAACGAATCAATCAAATCCCTCCATTGGTTGTTTCTTCTTCTTCTTCTATGTCGTATTACTGTTCCTTTCTATTTCTGTTCTTTTTATTTCTCACTATCTATCTATCTATCTACGCGGGTAGAGAAACTATTCTGAGAGGGCAGTCTCTCTAAAGATGTCCCTCCAATTTCAAACTTCCACGAAAAATCGCGGACTAAATAAGAAAGCAGTCTGTTCAAGACAATGAACATTTTTTTATATATAAAAACCATATGGCGAGAGTATAAATTCCAATATCTTAGGATCTGGCACGAGTAAAAACCCGCCTTTTCTTTGAACCTGCTTGTGTACAAATCTTTCAAACCCAGATGACGGGTACGACACTCTCTTCAAAGTTCCCCAAAGCTAACACTCAACATAAACGACTGATAAAATACCTCTGAACACTCGCAACGAGAAGAGCTGTTAAGTAACCCAAGACGGGTGTCAGGGCAAAAATCAGGTGATCGCTCTAGTAACCTCAGACGGCTGTTCTAATGCGACCAGAAGAAAATGAATAGAGCTACTCTGAAGAAAACTGTCTCATGCTAGCATGCAGTTAGCCGTAGGTGGAGAAAGTGAAACTATTATCTATCTATCTATCTATCTATCTATCTATCATCAATATAATTCTCTTAAAAAGTCTGTTCACATCTGTCTATCTCTATATCTATCTATCTTGATAACTTTGTTCATATCTATCTATGAATAATATAAGTGTGTTAAGTCTTTTCACATCTATCTATCTATCTATCTATCTATCTATCTATCTATCTATCCCAGTCTGTTCGTATCTATCCATCTATCTATCCCAGTCTGTTCGTATCTATCTATCTATCTATCTATCTATCTATCTATCTATCTATCTATCTATCTATCTATCTATCTATCTATCCCAGTCTGTTCGTATCTATCCATCTATCTATCCCAGTCTGTTCGTATCTATCTATCTATCTATCTATCTATCTATCTATCTATCTATCTATCTATCCCAGTCTGTTCGTATCTATCCATCTATCTATCCCAGTCTGTTCGTATCTATCTATCTATCTATCTATCTATCTATCTATCTATCTATCTATCTATCCCAGTCTGTTCATCTATCCATCTATCTATCCCAGTCTGTTCGTATCTATCTATCTATCTATATATCTATCTATCTATCTATCTATCTATCTATCTATCTATCTATCTATCCCAGTCTGTTCGTATCTATCCATCTATCTATCCCAGTCTGTTCATTATCTATCTATCTATCTATCTATCTATCTATCTATCTATCTATCTATCCCAGTCTGTTCGTATCTATCCATCTATCTATCCCAGTCTGTTCGTATCTATCTATCTATCTATCTATCTATCTATCTATCTATCTATCTATCTATCCCAGTCTGTTCGTATCTATCCATCTATCTATCCCAGTCTGTTCGTATCTATCTATCTATCTATCTATCTATCTATCTATCTATCCCATCTATCTATCTATCCATCTATCTATCCCAGTCTGTTCGTATCTATCCATCTATCTATCCCAGTCTGTTCATCTCTCTATCTATCTATCTATCTATCTATCTATCTATCTATCTATCTATCTTCATCCCAGTCTGTTCGTATCTATCCATCTATCTATCCCATTCTGTTCGTATCTATCCATCTATCTATCCCAGTCTGTTCGTATCTATCTATCTATCTATCTATCTATCTATCTATCTATCTATCTATCCCAGTCTGTTCGTATCTATCTATCTATCTATCCCAGTCTGTTCGTATCTATCCATCTATCTATCCCATCTGTCTTCTATCTATCTATCCCATCTGTTCGTATCTATCCATCTATCTATCCCAGTCTGTTCGTATCTATCTATCTATCTATCCCATCTATCTATCTATCTATCTATCTATCTATCTATCTATCTATCTATCTATCCCAGTCTGTTCGTATCTATCCATCTATCTATCCCAGTCTGTTCATTTCTATCTATCTATCTATCTATCTCTATCTATCTATCTATCTATCTATCTATCTATCCCAGTCTGTTCGTATCTATCCATCTATCTATCCCAGTCTGTTCGTATCTATCTATCTATCTATCTATCTATCTATCTATCTATCCCAGTCTGTTCGTATCTATCCATCTATCTATCCCAGTCTGTTCGTATCTATCTATCTATCTATCTATCTATCTATCTATCTATCTATCCCAGTCTGTTCGTATCTATCCATCTATCTATCTATCAGTCTATTCGTCTATCTATCCCATCTATCTATCTATCTATCTATCTATCTATCTATCTATCTATCTATCCCTATCTGTTTCGTATCTATCCATCTATCTATCCCAGTCTGTTCGTATCTATCTATCTATCCCATCTATCTATCTATCTATCTATCTATCTATCTATCTATCTATCTATATCTATCCCCAGTCTTTTCGTATCTATCCATCTATCTATCCCAGTCTGTTCGTATCTATCCATCTATCTATCCCAGTCTGTTCGTATCTATATATCTATCTATCTATCTATCTATCTATCTATCTATCCTAGTCTGTTCGTATCTATCTATCTATCTATCCCAGTCTGTTCGTATCTATCCATCTATCTATCCCAGTCTGTTCGTATCTATCTATCTATCTATCTATCTATCTATCTATCTATCTATCTATCTATCTATCTATCCCAGTCTGTTCGTATCTATTCATCTATCTATCCCAGTCTGTTCGTATCTATCTATCTATCTATCTATCTATCTATCTATCTATCTATCTATCTATCTATCTATCCCAGTCTGTTCGTATCTATCCATCTATCTATCCCAGTCTGTTCGTATCTATCTATCTATCTATCTATCTATCTATCTATCTATCTATCTATCTATCTATCTATCCCAGTCTGTTCGTTCTATCCATCCATCTATCCCATCTGTTCGTATCTATCTATCTATCTATCTATCTATCTATCTATCTATCTATCTATCTATCCCAGTCTGTCTATCTATCCATCTATCTATCCCAGTCTGTTCGTATCCTATCTATCTATCTATCCCAGTCTGTTCGTATCTATCTATCTATCTATCTATCTATCTATCTATCTATCTATCTATCTATCTATCTATCTATCTATCTATCCCAGTCTGTTCGTATCTATCCATCTATCTATCCCAGTCTGTTCTATCTATCTATCTATCTATCTATCTATCTATCTATCTATCTATCTATCTATCCCAGTCTGTTCGTATCTATCCATCTATCTATCCCAGTCTGTTCGTATCTATCTATCTATCTATCTATCTATCTATCTATCTATCTATCTATCTATCTATCTATCCCAGTCTGTTCGTATCTATCCATCTATCTATCTATCTATCTATCTATCTATCTATCTATCTATCTATCTATCCCAGTCTGTTGCATCTATCCATCTATCTATCCCAGTCTGTTCGTATCTATCTATCTATCTATCTATCTATCTATCTATCTATCCCAGTCTGTTCGTATCTATCCATCTATCTATCCCAGTCTGTTCGTATCTATCTATCTATCTATCTATCTATCTATCTATCTATCTATCCCAGTCTGTTCGTATCTATCCATCTATCTATCCCAGTCTGTTCGTATCTATCTATCTATCTATCTATCTATCTATCTATCTATCCCAGTCTGTTCGTATCTATCTATCTATCCCAGTCTGTTCGTATCTATCTATCTATCTATCTATCTATCTATCTATCTATCTATTTGTTGGATCTCTTCAACTTCAAAATGGTATCTAATAATTTCATTGATTTAATAATTAAAACTTTCTAACAACTGATATTATGCGCTCTCCCTACCAAATAGTCAAGGGAACAATTATCTTCGTCGTAATTTAGAACGAGTCTTCAAATTGATTCATCAGAAGTAACCTAGATTCCCGTACTTTTATAGGCGCTTCCTCTGTGAGTACTGTTGAATTTAAAAGGAAAGAAAAGGACGTTGGTTAAGGAGAGAGTGTAAAGTGAAAAAAATCAACGTAAAGGACAAATAATCACGATATTCTACACATACGCACAAACGCGCAGACGGGCGCATGCGCGCACGCGTGCCAACGTACACACACACGCACGCACACACACATATATACACTATGAAAAAAAACACTCGCGACAATGAAAATTGCACAGAAAAATCAAGAATTATAAGCAGTCAGCTGCTGATACCTTCTGAGGAGTGAACGGAATGATTCTGCAGAGTACGTCAACGAAACTCTGGAGTCGAAATGCTGAAGGTAACATTAATCAGCTAAGTGAGAAACCTTTTACTTGTATTAAATCTCCTCCCCCTCTCTCTATCTCTCTGTATATATATATATATATATATATATATATATATATATAATAGGATGTTTATTGTGAGTCTTAAGCAGTTACAATAAATTTGTTTTAATTTCTCATATGCATATACATACATACATTCATACATATATATATATATATATATATATATATATATATATATATATATATATATATAGGCTGCGGAAGAAATCTCTCCCACATAATCGTAAGACATTAGTGCTAATGATGTCTTCATCCAGCTAAATAGTAATAATAAATCGGTTTTGTTCATATATATATATATATATATATATATATATATGAAAAATTATCCCCATCCTATCCACACGCCAAACCCTGTAAACCGCTTCTTCATGCGGGCTAAATCACGTGAGATTACCATCGAAAGGCGCTGCACTCTTCTGGGCACTGGTAGTACCGGAGAGGTATACCTCCGTGATAATAAAACCTTAAAAGGGGCGTTGTTCATTGTGCTTGTGGCAAATATTTGCACTAACTCCTTGTTATCAGCATTTCCAATACGTGTGGCTAGTTCTACACAAGCCTTCACCACTCTAAATATATCTTCTGTGTGGATAGTCTGAAGTTTAGTTCTCCGTTCCTTCTTTTCTATTCCACCTGAGCAACAAGTCCACTGATGAGAGAGTTAAGGCGACGGGGACAGGTACAGGATTAAAAGCTGAACTGAAAGACACTCATACGTCAAAAACGACGGGAGAGTCCATCATTTATAGGATTAAAACTTTGTCACTTAGCTGATTAATGTTACTTTCAGCATCCCGACTCCAGAGTTGTGTTTGTGGACTTTTCCGTCCACTCTTCAGGGCTTTCATATCGAACACTTTATTGTAAAGGCTGCTTGCCTTAAATGTCTTTTCTCTCAATATTCCATTGACTGTCAGTATTTTCTCTTCATACTAATTTTGACATCGCTATATATATATATATATATATATATATATATATATATATATATATATATATACTGCATTAAATCTGTGGTATACCAATGTACTATATCATCCACTGAGAGCCCTAGCACTAATAAGATATACATTGGGTCCATGAAGAATGATTTTAAAGATAGATGGAGGCAGCATAAGTGCTCTTTTTCAATAATATAAACAAAAGAAATCAGACTTCCCTATCTAAATATTTTTGGCATCTGAAGGAAACAAATAGGACACCTAAAGTTAAATGGAAAATTATAAACAAGGCTAGAACATGTAAAACTTGGGATGACCCATGCCCTTTATGCCTCCATGAAAATTGCACATAATTAAGCTTCTAAATAATAATAATCTATTAAACAATAGACACGAGTTAACGGTTTTTTGTAGACATCATCAGATTTTTGGTTTGAATTATTAGCTAAAAACTAGCATACAATATAATAACTTGTTTAATCCATAGCCCACTCATCAGATTCATGGTTTGAATAATTAACTAAAAACATGCATACAATATAACACCCTTCATAATCCATAGCCCGAATAAATAGTTTAAATACCCTAAAAAAAGATAATCCTTTATGAAGTCGTCAAAAAACAAACGTTACGACTGTTTTTTTATATGAACAAATCCCTTTCATAAAAAAAAATAAAATAAAAAAATAAATAAATCTCCATAGACATGCAAACTAGACGAGGGTTAATACATCTTCCGTTTCAAATTTACACACCCCTACCTTTCCCTGACTTGACATCTATGAAAGTAACTCTATACTGATACTTATTATGAACACCCAACACTCGCCTACCCAATTTAAATAATTCGCCCTAGCTGTTACCATGGAAATTTTGATTTCAATTTTTAAAACACGTAAATTTCAGAAACACGTTATTCCAAAAAAATTTCGCTTGAAGATGGAACAGAGCTTATTTTAACTCAATTTAATTTAAATAATTATATTGAAGTTTTCGGCTCTTGTTTTGAAACATGGGACTTCTTATGTCGCGATTTGAAATCATATTTTTAAATAAATAAATAATTATATATATATATATATATATATATATATATATATATATATATATTGATTTTTTAAATTATTATAAAATCTAATGAATTTATATAGAAATCTTCCTCGCGATGAATTTTCCTCGCGGTGAATTGATGACGGTGAACTTACCTCTAAACTTTAGAAAATCGTCACCAAAATATAATAAATAGTATTTTCTTTCTTTTTTTCTTTCTTTTCTTTCTTTTTCATTCTTTCTTTCTTTGTTTCTAATATTGTTCTTTTTCTTCTACCTCCTTCTCACCCTCCCTTTTCTTTGTGGTTTTCTCCATGATGAACAAATTTAAGAATATTTGTTTTGTTCTGCTTTTTTATTATTATTCAGTCTAACGATTTTTAAACGAATTATTCCGAAACATTTTCCCAGAACGAAGGACAATAGCAAAACAAAAATGAAACAACAACGGCATAAAACAACGACGATGTTTATCTTTTAAATTACAGTAACGAACTGACACATGTTTAAAATAACTAATTCACACCGGCCAATAAAATGAAGATAAAAGCTATTAAACATCACGAGAGAAGCTCTCGCTTTTTACACGTTTTTGATTGGACGTTTGCATTCTTTCAGCTAACCAATGAGACAAGGATCAAGAAGAGATTTCTCTAAGGGAATAAATACGTCTTATTACGACGAAGCAAATAATAGATTCGCGTTAACCTACTTCGTGAAGTAAACCAATGAAATGTTGACACGTAAGAATAAAAGAATACAATATATTTTAATATTTTAGTAAGTTGAGATTTTAATTTGAGGCAAATATTTATTTCCAAACAAATTCGGATTTTCTTCGATAAAAAAGTTTAAGATCTTAAAGTTTGCTGATTCCAACTCGTTATTTGTCGACTTTATCTAAGGAAGAAAAATTCAAGTTAAAATTAATTTCTTTCTTTTTTAATCATTTCACCTTAACCAAGGCACAAGGCGATAAAGCCACTAAGATGCAAGGGGTTATTGCATGTTAGAGAATTAAAAAAAAACACTATTAAGGAGAGAGAACAACAAAAGTACAAGAATTAAGAAGATAGAAAACTGCATTTAAATTTTAAGTATATCAACCTTGACTGAGAAGCAAGAAGCCGGAAGAAATTTCCACAAGCGAGAAGTGATATAGAAGAAACTATTAGCATAGAACTTACGGTTGCATATAGCCATTTCAACTGTAAGATGATGAGATCTTGCCACCAATCTAGTACTGTGCTTAAATTCATAAAGTCTAACGGAAAGTTCATCAGGACAATTACCATAAAATTATTTATAGAAATGGCACAGGAAAGCTACATTACGAAAGTAACCGAAGCCGAGATGCCAGATCAGGATCAATAATATTGCGAATTCTTAATATTAAAGCCACTAAGATGCAAGTGTGTTACAGAATATGAGAAAAAAAAACACTATCAAGAAGAGAGAACAATAAAAGAACAGGAGTTAAGAAAGAAGAATATAACGATTCACATTGCATTTAATTTTTTTAATATCAAAGTTGACTGGAAAGCAAGAATTCGGAATAAAGTTCCACAAGTGGGAAGTGCGATAGAAGAAACTATTAGCATAAAACCTACGGTTTATCTAGTAATCATAAGTAGACTATAATAAAAAAAAAATTAATACATTATTAATTTTAACGTGTTTACTGCTACTTTATGCACCTGTGAGTCTCGTGGCCTTACCTCTACTGCACACGTGCGTCCATTCCACGGTTATTATTTGCGGCAAAGCTTTCAACTATATTGGTTGTGTAAGTGAATAAAGAATCCTATGATTTTGTTTCGAAGTATAGTTTTTGGCTTAGAATAACCCTTCTTTGAATTTTGTCAAGAATTTCGAGATATATAGTAAGAGTAGTAGACCAGATCTGGCAGTAGTATTCGATTCACATACGAATGGTAGATTTATAAGTGTGCAAAAAGGATTCTGACGAGAATAATTGTCTGGTAGGACACAGTGAACCAACTTTCCTAGAAGTAGATCTAGCAATTGATTTAATACAATTACTCCCTGTCAGAGTAAAAGGTGAGCCCAAGAAGACGCAAAGAGTTGCTCTCTTGGTGGTTAGCATCAGCCATACTTACGGAAGGTAGAAAAGGTTCTCTATGGAAATTAAACGAAAGAAGATTTATTTTACAAGTGTCTATATTTACAAGCCATTCCTTGCTCTGTCTAACCACTGATTGGATATTCTTTTCGAGAGCAGTTGCCTCTTTTATTTTGTCAAACCTGTCAGACTTTCTACTAAAACAAGAGTAAATAGTTGTGTCGACAGCATAAATACCTAGCCGGGAAATGATTACATTGGGGAGGTCATTGATGAAGATCAGCAAAAGCGGAGATCTAAGGTTAGAGCCCTGGAGCACCCTGCATGAATGTGAAATGATCTAGAAACGTATCAGTTCTACATCACGTT